CCCAGCGCCCGCGCCCGCCGCGGCCGAGAGCGTGGGCCCCCGGGAACGTGCTCTAACTCCACGCTGATTTTCCAAACCCCGCAGGCGCGCTTTCAGTTTTCCCCGCTTGCTGCGCGCGCAGGACGCTGAGGGGCCGTGTCGTCTGCCCTGCTGGTTTTAGGAACCGACGGAACTTAAGCCCTAAAGGGAAAGAGCGCGTCTGTGTTCAGGGGTCGCAAGGTCAGGGTCTCCACAGCCCTTTCTACCCTTGACTCAAAAGTTCAGATTAAACACCTCACTCTGAACCACACTAAATCAGAGACGTCACCCTGGGGTACTTTATTCCTCGAAACTGGAGGAAGGAGGCTCTGGGTGAACTGAGGGAATCGAGCGCCCCGGGGGGCTGTGCCAGAGGCGGCCTGGCCCCGCGCGAGCCCGATGGGATTATATAACCACTTTGCAAAGCGCGGTCGTGCGCACGCAGGTCACCAGAATGGGGTGACTAACACTTGGCCGGCGGGAAGGGGGACGGTGGTGAGGAGAGAAGGGGAGGCTAGAAAACACGTCCACGGGTCCCGCGGGCAGCGGGCTGCTCCCCTTTCCAGCGTCCCCAGCGTCCTCAACTTCCGGCACCAGGGCCTTTGTTCCCGACATTTGCTGACCCGGCCCCAGCCACCCCCGCTTATCTGAACCCCTCACCCCACTTCCCACCCCTACTTCCCTCCCCCCCCACCCCGCCCTCACAAAGCTCTCCTCTTTGCGGGCAGTAAGAGAATTAGACCGATTGACCATTCATGTTTTCCAACTCTGAGTCACCTACCTAGGCCACAACGATTTTGCATTTTCATTTAACTTTTTATTTCTGGAAAGCTTGTCTCTCCTCTTATATCCCTCATTTCCAACCCCCATGCCACCCGCCGCCCAAATTAGCATAAAGCCAGACACCTAGGAGTTGACTAGCAAATATTTGGTAATGATGATGGAGAGAATGTTCAAAAACTCAGGGCTAGGACTTTAAGGTTCAAGGGCCAGTCAGTGATAGGGACACAGAGGGATACTTTTAGAATGGCCAAGCAAATAGTTTCCATTGCAGGGTACTAGCAACGTGAATGTGTGGGTGTCCAATAACTGGTCACTTCTAGCTCAGTGTTGGGGCGGGGTGGCGTGTGGGGTGAGAAAAACATCTTGCCTGGGGAAGCTGCTTCATTTTGGGGAAAATAGCCCTGCAGCGCCCCTGCTCTGTCCTTAACTCGCTGACACTTTCCTTCAGCCTGTAGCCTCAAAAGGGCTTTCCTCACCCGTATTCCCTCCAAGCCACTTTTTGTTCACCTTGCCATCATTTCAAAATGTCTCTTAAAATATTAAAGTAGTATGTGCTCACTAAAGGAAACTTGCAAAGTATAGAAAAGTAAAATAAATCACCCTTAATTTTTTCACACAGAGAAACACCTGTTAATATTTTTCTATTTTTTTTAAATTCTTTCTATCCATGGGGATTACAATTGAGATAGAAAAAGGCACAAAATGATGTAAAAATAAACTATTATATTATTTAAAAAATTCTTTCTCCTCCCCCACCATAATTTAGAAAGATGACTAGATCAGGATTGTCTGAGGTAGGGTGTCACCAAGAACAGAAACTAATCGGCTACTAAGAGACCTTGCTGCTTGCCATTACTTAGGTGCTTTCAATCTCAATCCAGGCGGGGCCTTGAGTCCTGCAGGCTCAGACACTTGATCTCTGTGTCCCAGAACTAGTGGACCTAAAAAGGCTGGCTCATGTCCATTACTTCAAGAGAAACAGATGTATGAAAACTAAGATGCTGGTTGATAATGAACAATAGTACTGTGACAGATCATTTTGGCTTGACCACCACATTATCTCCCTTCATAATACGTAGACCTTACTCCACAAAGTGTTATTTTATACAATAACTGTGAAAGAGATTAACCCCATTTTAGAAATAGAGAAACTAAGGCACACCAGTCTGTTCTGTTCATGTTGGCAGTCACAGGGTTTCCCTTTTCTATGCTTCGGTGACTCACTGACACCTTCATTTTTTTTTTTTTTTTTAAAAAAAGAGAACAATGTGTAGGATCTAAGGAAAAACCAGAGTATGAGACCTTTGTTTTTAGATATGTCGAAGATACCAACCAAACTACTACTGGTCTGGAAGCCATTATATTTCTTCAAGGTGATTTACCCATTTGAGATGTTGTACATCAATTTTATGGTTTAACTCACAAATATTTCCAAGGTCCTGGGGCTACTTTATCTTTGTTTTCTTATATCACCTGGGAGTTTCAATCATACTAAATTGAAAAAAAATCCAAAAATTTATAATTTCACATACATAAGTATTTTCCAGTTTTATATTTTTATGTTAAAGTCTACATTAGTTTTCTCCTTTGTAGGTGGTATACAGTCACTTAGCTATTCTTTTTTTTTAAAAGATTTATTTATTTGCGCATACAGAACTGGGGTACAGGCCAGAGATAAAGGGGCAGCGAGAGGCTTCACCAGAGACAGAGTGGGGAGCAGAACAGGCAGATCGACGAAGTACACTGCTGAGGGGAGCAGCAGGCAGGTCAGAAGAGGTCTGCCACGCCATGTGGTCACCTCCGGGGCAGGTGGGAATTGAACTCATGCGGAAGTGGCTTTAGCTTCCCAGTGCTGTGCTTTTAACCCGCTGCACCACCAGGGAGGGCCAGCTATTCTTTTAGTATTAATTAATAATAAATCTTTTATTAAACTTCTTTTTTACATTTAAGTATTTTACTTTAAATTTTCATACAAAAAAATGGAGTTACAAACCAAGCTACCAAAATCGTTGATTTATAATTGCCCATTTACCTTTAATAGAAATATTTATCACTTCATAAAAACTTGAGTTTCTCCTTAGCATTCTTTCAACTCAACCTGAAGGACACGCTTTAGCACTTCTTGTTGGGAAAGTCTAATGGCTATGAACCCCCTCAACTTTCATTTATGAAGACATATTTTATGTTTTCCTCAGTTTTGAAGATTAGTTTTTCTAAATATAGATTTCTAGACTTATACTTTGAAATATTTATTTATTTATTAAAGATTTATTTATTTATTCATACAGAACTGGAGTTCAGGCCAGAGATGTGGAGGGTGTGAGGATTCACCAGAGACAGAGCAGGGAGCAGAACAGGCAGATCTACGAGGGGAGCAGCGGGCGGGTCAGGAGAGGTCTGCCACGCCATATGGAGCTCCTCCGGGGCAGGCGGGAATCGAACTCATGCGGAAGTGACTTAAGCTTCTTAGTGCTGTGCTTTAACCTGCTGCACCACCAGGGAGGGCCCTGAAATATTTATTTTTTTTAAAGATTTATTTATTTATACAGAGCTGGGGTACAGGCCAGAGATGCGGAGGGTGAGAGGAGCCACCAGAGACAGAGTGGGGAGCAGAACAGGCAGATCAACGCAGCACACTGCTGAGGGGAGCAGCGGGTGGGTCAGGAGAGGTCTGCCACGCCATGTGGATCTCCTCCCGGGCAGGCGGAAATCGAACTCATGTGGAAGTGGCTTTAGCTTCTTAGTGCAGTACTTTAACCCGCTGCGCCACCAGGGAGGGCCCGAAATCTTTATTTATAATTGAGGTAATATTTGGATACCCCTATCAGGTGTCACCACCATAATGTACCCACCACCAAATCACCACAGTGCATCATGCTTCTTTCTTTATTCTTCTCCCCAACCTTTCCCAATTTTGGATGCTTCAGTACTATAGTCAGCTTTCAAGAGTTAATTTTTAAATTTGTCTTTATCTGACTCTTATTTAGTTACTCAATATTCCACATATTAGTGACACCATCCAGTATTCCTCTTTCTCTTTCTGACTTACTTAACTTAGCATGATCCCTTCCAGCTCCATCCATGTTACAGCAAATGGCATGAGTTTTTCTTTTTTGGTCTCTGAATAATATTCCATTGTGTATACATTTTCTTGATCCACTCATCTGTTCTGGGACCACATAGGGTGCTTCCATAATTTAGCTATTGTAAAATAAATAGTGCTGCTATGAACACAGAAGTGCAGATTTCCTTACAAATTAGTGTTTTGAATTTTTTGAACAGATGCCTAGGAGTGGAATTACAGAGCTGATCCATTTTCAATGTTTTGAGATGCCTCCATTCTACTTTTGATAAGTGCTGGACTAGTCTACATTCCCACCAGCAGTGCAGGAGGGTTTCCTTTTCCCCATATCCTCTCCAAACCAACACTTGTTATTTTTGGTGTTTCTGATATGGGCCATTCTCATCGGTGTGTGGTGGTATGTCCTGTGGTCTTGATTTAGATTTCCCTGATAAGTGATAGTGAGCATTCTTTCATGTGCCCATTTTTTTTAAAAGATTTATTTATACATACAGAACTGGGGTACAGGCCAGAGGTACAGGGCGGTGAGAGAATTCACCAGAGACAGAGTGGGGAGCAGAACAGGCAGACAGACAAAGTACACTGCTGAGGGGAGCAGCGGGCGGGTCCAGAGAGGTCTGCCTCACCATGTGGATCACCTCCTGGGCAGGCAGGAATCGAACTCATGCTGCAGTGGCTTTAGCTTCTTAGTGCTGTGCTTTAACCCACTGCACCACCAGGGAGGGCCCATGTGCCCATTTTTTGACTGAGTTATTTGTTTTGTTTTTGTAGAGTTGTGTGCCTCTATTGGCATACTCAGAAAATAATCAGAATAAAAGACAGTAACAGTTGGCTTGACAAAAACCACGAGCAAGAAAATACACCAAACATGAATGGAAAAAATATCTTATGATGGATTTTTAAGATATACACAAGATATTGTTAAAGTAATGGAGCTCCAGGAAATCACTGACAGCCTAGAGAACAGAGCCAGATGA